CCCTGCAACAATGTGTCAAATGTTTTCCAAGAACTCTGAGGGAATGTGTCATCTTAGCCCTGGGGTTTGTTGTCCGCCTGACAGGTGAAAATGGCAACTTTAATGTTTCCCTTTTGCATTTCCTTTTGGTAAACTATTGGCTCAGAGCTCCTTCCCTTCTCTCCATTGCGGTTTGGAATTGATTTCTCGTAAGTCTTTATATATTAAGGAAGTTGGCCCTTCATCTGTGTTGTGAGCTGAAAGTATTCTTGCCCAATTTCCCACCTGCATTTTCACTTTGGTGTTCATGCATTACAAAAGTCATTTTATGGTAGTTTGTGGTGTAGTTTTTAAGACTTTTTCTTCTAAAGCTTCTAGAAGTGTCTCCCTGCTTCAGACCATGAAGCACATTAAAGGAGGTCCTATTGGTTCACTTATGGTTCTCTCAGTCCATTTAAGTCTTTAATTGATTTAAAAGTTGCCTTTAAAGTTCTTGAGACAGTTTTGTGTAGCCCAGGCTGACCTTGAACTTGCTATGTAGCTGAAGATGACCTTAAACTTGTGATCGATCCTCTTGCCTCTACCTCCAGAGTTCTGTGCTGCTAGTTTTAATTTTATCATTCTCAACTGGAAAGGGGCTGTGGATCCTAACCCTCCCTAACCCTTTCTTCCTCCTTGAAACACTCTGCCTAGGGCTTTTAAGGCTCTATGAAAGGCCACAGAAAGACTCCATTTAAAAAAGAGGGGGTCATCATTCAGTAATCTGCTCTTCTTATGCATCTCGATTCTCATAAGTTTCATTTACCCTCAGAGCTCTGATCCATCATGGGCTTAGAATCCACAGTTTGTGTGATGGCTCCAGACTCAGAAAGCCATCTAACTACTTGGATGTCTCCATTTAGCGTCTTTCAAATGTCAAATGTTCAAGTCTGACCCCATCAAGCCTCCCCTGCCCCAAGGCAGAAGACACCACAGCCCTACTGCAGTCTTTGCCCTCCCCTAGGGCAGAAGATGGCACAGCCATTCTGGAGCCTTTGCCCAGTGGGTGGATCTGGAAGTAAAGACAGACCAGTTCCATGTCTCCCTCCCCTCCTTATTTCTCTATATCTATCACTCTCAAAATCTGCTCGCTTGGTTTCCAAAATCACATCTCAGACCATCTACTTGTCCCCATCTCCTCTGCGTCTGCTACAGCCTAGGATCCTTCACCTGCCTAACCCAGACCTTCTGGGAGATTTGGCAAACCTCATGTTATCCATATCAATCCATTTGCTCCTTCCTACACCCACCTCTCTCTCTCTCTCTCTCTCTCTCTCTCTCTCTCTCTCTCTCTCTCACACACACACACACACACACACACACACACATTCTTAGGAAAAATCTTGAGAACTCTCATATAAATATTATTTACAGCCATAAAACTGGAAAACTACCTACAGCCAGGAAGGTGTCGTGAGACACTAACATTTGTAGTACCTGGAAGGGACAGACATTTGTCGGGCAAAAAAATGTCTAGGGGCTTCCCATAGAGGAAGCAGCGTTTGTATTGACACGGAGGTGACAGATGCTCGTTTCATGTAACCAGAATGTTATTTATGGGAATAAAACAATAGAAATAAGTCATCATTGGTTCCTCTGCACACTGGTGTTTTGCAGGGGCTCTTGATTTAGATTCTCCCAGAGTAAGCCTGAGATGAGGTTTCGTCTGGGAGACTCAGTAGGAAGGAGTAGGGAGCGCAGAGAACAAGAAAGGAGGGCAGGTTGCAGCATGGCCCAGGGTGCAGCCTCCATGGGGTTACACGGAGGACCTTCTGAGCGAGTTATCCTTTGGAAAAATGAGTTTGCCTTTCTCACCATCCCACGTCCTTCCAGCACCTGCTTCCCATTTGTCAGTGGTCAGTTTTCTAGGTAAGTTAGCAGTCAAAACTCATAGCAGCTGGACCTGGGTACCTTAGACTCTTAAAGAGACTGACACAGAGCCAACAGACCCCACAGCCCTGTTTCATTTACTTCTCCCAGGACCCCAAGAGGTGGGTGGCACTCTTCCTGGTAGTAGGAAGCTGACATCACTCGCACAAAGACATGTCAGCCATACATGGCACAGAAAAGCTAGGAATGTGAGTCTGTGGGAGCTCAAGCCCTTCCCAGGCAGATTCCCCTTCTTCCTGGATCGTGTAACCTGGACAAATAGATCCAGAAGCTCTGGGTCTGTCCTGAGCCAGGAGAGAGCTGATCTCTATCAGGTTGACTCCTAAGGCTATTGCTTGGAACATCCTAGAAGCTAGTGTTTGCTAAAAACTGCTTCCTGCTCAGATCCAGGGCCTTTGAATGGTAGGGCACCCAGTGAACCTTGCTGCTTGGATGAACCTGGGATGTAAACACGCTTACAAGAAATATAACATCTTTTGACCTCTGAGACCTTCATTTTCTCCATGCTCATGTGGGTCCTACAGTAATTGGGACAGTACAATTCCTGCAGTTGACAAGACAACACCCCGTGAAAGTAAGTGTGTGTGTGTGTGTGTGTGTGTGTGTGTGTGTGTGTGTGTGTGTGTTCAAATACAGACTCCAGGGGAAATAGAGAGTACCTGGCCATCTCTTGTCATTAAAGATCAGAGGCCAGTAGAATCCCACCGAGCCATGGTATTCTAGAAGAGCCCGAGTTCATTCATCAGCAAGGCCAGCATGAACTCATAGCCTCTGTTTCTCAGAGTCTATAGGACTTTGCAGTTCTTCTGTTCAAGAGCTAGCATCTATTTCCCAGTGCTTGAATCTACACTTGCCCTGTGCTTGTATGGAGCTGGAAACAATACAGACAAGGTCCATGTCTAGGCCTCAAGAGATCTGGCAGCTCCTGGACTTGCTACTTTGGGAAACCTGCCCCCTACCTTGTGAATAGCCTCAGGCTAACCATCTGGAGTAGGTGAGAGCTCAGGAGGAGCAGAAGCAAACCTCCACATCAACTAGCAAGGGGCTTTTCCCAGATCTTACTGCAGCCGCCCAGCCTAGCCAAACTGCCAACCAATATAGCCACAAACTACCTACACATCTGTAGCTTTTAGCCACTGTATTGTGAAATACTTGTTTTGCAGCAAAAATGCTATACTATGAGAAGTCTAGGCTGCATTTGCAAAGTTGCTGATATTAAATTTGGCTTGTGCAACCGGCTGGACTTAATCTTACAGAATTCTAATTACTACTACTACTACTACTACTACTACTACTACTACTATTAGATGGAGCTTTGCAATACTAGGTATATGCACTAGGTAGCCAAGAGTGGTCTCAAACTCACTGTCTTCCCACCTCAGCTTCCCAAGTGCTGGGAATCCAGGTGTGTATCACTGTAGCCAGCTTTAACCAGATCCTAATGTCTTCCTTTAAGTTAGGCAGACCCTCTGGTGACAGCAAAAAGATGTAGAAGAATTCTTAAGAAGTCCAACTATCCTGTTCTCCTGTTAGGGCAGGTGGGATTCAGAAGATGGATGAAAAGGCCATCTTCACGCATTACATCAGTATTCCTGGAGTGCTTTCTGAGTGACAGCCACAACCTCATGGAGTGCATGGCAGTTAAGAGACTATATCCTTCTGCCAGGGAGGTCACAGTTTTGAATGGAAACAGACAAAATCTAAGTCATCACACACATATGGTAGATGACCTCAGACAGTAACAAGAGCCAGAAGTTAAAACCAACTGGTGTCATAACATACAATTCTGGTCCCAGTTTGGAGCTGGAGGTCACGAACAGCTCTGTGATAAGTTGGTTTTGAAGTCAGCACAGTATGCTACAAAGTTCGATGTGGACTTGGGAGTGACTCAGAGGTTGAGAGTAAGCCCTGGTCACCTGGGATGACCACATTTCCAAGCTGATTATGGACAACCAGGCATTGCAGTGTGACATCCCCAGACTTGGAATTATTGCTCACCTTCCTGCAAGTTGGTGTGTATAGCAAAATAAAGGCAGCTTTGCAGTGGTGACATATTGCTCACATGGGGAAGGGTAGAGAAGGGGTAGAGTGTGGTACCCCAGTATCAGCATCCCTGCAACTTGGACCACATTGTATTCCTCATTAGCAGAGCTTTCCACGGGCTACAGGCTCACATCTTATTTATGGCCCCATGGGACCTGTCACAGAATAAGGCACATTATGCCTGTGAATTAATAGGCTTTTGTTTTCCCCAGCCAGAAAATGTGAACCAATCATGATGGCTAAGGGGCCAGCCAACTTCAGTTGCCAAGACAGGGGTGGAAGCCAAGAGCAGGACCAGGCCTGTCCTCCAACTCCAGAGGTTCCCAGGAGCTGGGAACCTCCTCGGCTCCACCTGGCATCTTTAGCTGCTGCCAGACCCTGCAGGCTCTCCTACCTTTGGTGCCATTCTCCATATAGTCTCAGACAGCCACAAGGACTACCTCCCCGGTCACAGTCTGTATTGGGGATGTTCACAGGTGAGAAATGTCAACTTTCTATTCTCTGTGGAAAATATGATTCCCTCTATGGCCCCAGGGGTCTGGATCACCAGAGAGGGCATTCCAGGAAACATCTGCCCTCTGCCCTCTGCCCTCTGCCTCTGTGTCATGTCCATAAGCCTCCTCAATGGCCTCAGGCAACTGATTCTGTGTGATAGGTAGACTCTGTTCACCTGTGTGTAGACACACACTACAGATGTCCCTAAAGATGTTATGTAGGAGGAAGGCATTGGTGGAGAGCATGGACACCTCAAACCACTGTTGTGAAATCTGTCCCTCACTCTGGAAATGTGGACAAAGCACTCCGAGTGTTAAGGTCTCAGTGATGCCCTCTGTAAGCCAACGGTATTCAGGGACTTCATTTACAGCCAGCACTGTGGCCCTGCTTTGACTGTCCCCCAGAAGGACCCAACCGATATTTGAACACTGAGAGAATAGCATTACACCATGTGCTACAACTCTGGCAACTGCAGCCACCCTACCTCCACACCAGCAGCATCTTGGCTCCACCCACTGATGGCTCAAACCCCCTCGGGGAGGAGGGGCACTCACCTGGCTGGTTGGCAGGAGCTCTGGATTTCCGTCACTCATCCCCACGTAGGCGCTGTCACCATCAAACTAGAACAAAGACAGAAGTGCCTCTCATTAAAATGTCCCTGGGGGGAAACGGAGCTTGTGTCCCAAGGAGGTCAGGGGATTTTGTGCTGAGAGAAAGGGGATGTAAGGGAAGCAGAAGCAGACATGGGAGCCCAGGATGCCTAAGGCCCCGTCCCAGCAGGGCCAGCGGCCCCTGTTTGTTTCTACGACCCTTGAAAGTTCAGGTCAGGACCATCAATCATGTAGAACAAAGACAGGCAGTGCCTTCTGCTGTTGGTACTTTGTCTACTGATGCAGCAGGCTGCCTTGTCAGGCACTGAGCTACCCGCCCCTACAAGTATACAAACGACTCTCCTGGCCCAATCAGCTAAAGCTGGAATCCCACGTGCCAGGAAAGGAAGGGCCTTGAAGTTCATTGCCTTGGAGTCAATGACAGCCTGCCCCAGAGACGCCCGCTACATCTTTCCACCCTAAGTAGCTTTGTCCCCACCTCTGTCTCCTTTCAGCTTCATGGCCACAAGTATGAGAACTTTGGTGGAAACTGATGAGGGAACACAATGTGTTGGAGAATCTGCCACTTCTGGATTTGGGGAGAAACTGCCCTTCATGGGGAACAGGCGCAGGGGAAGAAACATGGGCCCTGTCAGCAACTACTGATATGCGAGTTTCAGCTGGTACCCCAAATTCTGAAGCTCCTCATCTGCCAGGTGGGGATAGGATGGTGGTCCCTTCTTCATAGCACAGTTTAGAGCAGCTTTGCCATATGCCACTACCCACCAGGTTTCACTCAATTCCAGGTAGCCCCTTTCCCTGTAGAGTGGCATCTTTATAGAGACCGCCAAAGGCAGAGGCTGAGGCATGCACTTCTGAGTGAGTGATTTGTGGGGGTAAACCTATATGACATTGGCCAGAGCTAAATGAGGGTACTCACTTGAGCTTCATCCCATGGTGGCTCAAGGTTCACATGTAGGGTCAGTCTTAGCATGAGGCAAGAGATGATGGTCTTTCATGGTCTACAACAAGCAGTCATTGCTGCTCTTAGGGGACACAAGGAGACACAACCTTTTGAGCAAGATGGCCTCCACTGGGCCAGAGACAAGAATCTGCAGGGCTATACGCACCAAAGGCTACTATTTATAGTTACTTCGTCCTGCAAATTATAACACCCTGCATATTGTTTTGTGTCTCATTTTTCTGATGGAAACACATCTTGGAATGTGGTCTATATCAGAACATAATTGCTTTGGCCAGTCCCCAGAATTCTACAGTAAGAAGGAAGCATAGACAACTAGCTAAGCTTGTGGCCCAATGAACTCTCTCTCTCTCTTTTGTATTTCAACACAGCTGCATTAGTCATTGCACAAAGGTGTGAGTTTCTCTATAGAACTAATTTGCATGAGTACAATTGTGCAAACTCATGATGTAGAACTCTCCCTCAGCCATGTAGATGTCTGTCTGTCCAAGCCCTTCCCTTAGACCTGTGTAGATCAACCTGTCAGGAGGCCAGCCCCACCCCTGGGGCCCCAGAAAGCCAGCCTCCCCTGCTACCAGCTCCTCTCTGTGTCACAGCCCATAACTTTCCAGCATTCTCTAACATTTCCTGTCTTCAATGCTCACATTGGATTCCCCCACCACACCCGATGTTCCCCAGGGATCCAGTATTCCATGCTGTCCGTGCATGGAGGAGAAGCTTAACCAGGGAGCTGAGACATTTTCTAAAATAATAGCAATGAACAGGATGGTGTAGGTTAGTAATACACAACAATATATAACAGGAAAACAGACTGGAAGATATTCCCCTAAACCCCGTGTGATAACCATCAATTATTAAACTCTGGATAGAAAATAGCTAGCAGGAAGAAAAAAAGCCTGTCTTTTTCATATGCAGTAGGCAAGTGACAAAATGAATGCAGTGAATGAATGACCCTACCTGGCTCTGAGTGGCATGCTCTCTATGGAGGGTTTCAATGGTCCAATAGAGACAGCATTCTTTCCCCCATTAAAAACCAAGGAAACACACAGAGAGGGCTAGCTGCTCAATGGGGAAGAGACCACACAAGTGCTTTTGTTTGCTTTGCTAGGTTCCTTCCCAATCATGCTGCAGGCTCCCTGCACACAGAGACCAAGACTTTTCTAGATCTTTCCATGTGATCAACATTCAGCCCAGGGGCCTAGACACGGGACACTTTGCAAATGTGTTGGAAATTCAGGAGAGGGAAGAGTCACCCAGAGTGAGCAGGGGACTATGGCCTTGGACAGGAAGCCCTCCTGGAGTTTGGCAAGAGATTTTGGGGCAGATAAGAGGATGGGGCAATGGACTCCTGGGAGGTCAACGGAGAGAGAGTCTCGCAAATAGGCTCACTCATTCATTCATGCATCTGTCAATTCAAGCAATGTCGAGGAAAATGCTGTCATAAGTTAGAGTGAAGCTTGCTTAGCTTAGAGGAAGGACTTTGTTGGCAGACTGTTCCTGTAGAGCCTCAGTGTGCCTCAATTTGGGGAGTCTTGGGCGCCTTGCACAGTGTCCTGAAGTGTGCTGGGATGAACAGCTGTGAACAGGGGCTAAGGCAGAAGGAGCCCAACTGTCTACCCACCTCTGTCAAAGCCATACTGGGCAGAGAACTTGGTTCAGGCAGTGAGGTAGGGTGGTCCCCAAGGGTTCAGGAGCTTCCGCTTCCTTGGCCTCCAAGAACAAAGACCTGAGGTTTCTCCCTTGTTCCCTTCCTCATGGAGGACTCTTTCTGGTAAAAGGATGAGTAAGCTAAGGAAAGGATCATTGAGCTACCCCTTCTCTCAGACATATCAGGGTCACCTTCCTCCACGTACTCAGACCCAGTGGAAAACACACTTCTCTACCACTACCCAGGACATGCTGAGGTGAACAGAGAGTGTGGACACCCACACACCCCAAAGCCAAGTTTGTGTGGACCCAGGTCATGTACAACTCAGACCCATCAGGCTCATATCCATGCGTGACACAACCGATATGCACAGAGATACATTATCAGACAGGAAAACTGTCATGCAATCCCAGAACACACACAGGAAAGGAGGGGGCAGATATAGAAACACCACACACCTGCATCTGTTTGCTAGAACTCACATAGGTGTGAATGTAAACACGCATTTCGTGTTCCCAGAGAAACACATTAAGTGATGATGGCACATGGGCAGAAATCCTGTGTACATTTCACAGTTTATTGGTCCCTCTGCCAAAACTCATTTTTCACACTACACAACCTTCTGTGTGCTTTAAAACATGTAGGAAAAAAACACACACACACAGGGGGACAACAGCCTAAGAATTGCTATGAAACGTCAGGACATCCTCTTACCATTGCCTGGAATAGATTAATTTTCCCCATTTCATATTCTAATTATAATTCCTTTTCCCACCGCCATCTTCAGTCCTCATTACAGCTGGAAGATTGTTCTGCAAAAGCCAGGCCTTCATCTTCTCTCCCCAAGAGTTTTGTCATGGAAATGAGTTTTGGAATCTGAAAGAACCCACATTTTTTTGCAAATATCGAATGTGTGGGGATAACCCTTTCATGTCAGCCACCAGGGATAGGCTTACAGAAGCTTCTAAAGGGCCCATCTCTCTCCACACTGTGTGGTCACCAGATAGGAGCTCTTAGGCCTCTATTGCAACAGCCACCTCCAACCTAAGCTTGTCAAGTTTGCCCAAAGGATTGTTTTTATCTTAAAAGGTACCTAACAAATAAGGAGCCAAAGTAAAAAACGAGAACCCCTGGTTTGAAAGAGCATAGCTCCATCTGTCTCACCTTAGGCAAGTTCTTTATATAGAGGCCTTGGTTTCCCCATACTTCTGACCCACAGTTCATGATATATTAAAACATCTATCTCTCACAGACACATGTTACGAGATGGAGACACATGGTGATTGGGAAGGTGAAAGAAGGAAGAAAAATAATGGACAGATTGATTCAGGTCCAAATGGATGAGGGATAGGAGGCTGGATCAGAAGATGCAGGGCTAATAAATGATGGATGTATTAAGGCAGGAACTGATGGATGATGGAGTAGTGGATGGATGGATAGGTGGATGGATGGACGGACGGATGGATGGAATAATACATAGATGTATGGGTAGAAGGATGGATAATAGATGCATCGGCTAATCAATTAATACAAGGACCAATGAGTGAATGATGGACAGGAGGATAGATGGGTGAATGATGGTTGAGGATGAATAGGTGGAAAGATGAACTATGGATAGATAAGTGGCTAGATGGAGGATACATAGTTGGGTGATAGGCAGTATAAATCCTCACTGTCCTGTGGAAATACAATACAGTCATAAAAGTGAGTCATGTGTGTCATTTACATTTTCTAGCAGTTGTAATTTTAAGAACAGGGGAAACTCATTTTAATATGTGCTCTATTTAGCCTACTATATTTATATTATGATTTCAATATACAACAAACATAACCTATTAATTGTTGACTGGCTGGTTCATTAGTGAAGTGAAGGAAAGAAGGGATGCCTGTTAATTCATAGATCCTTGTGTGATGAATGGAGGTGTAGATGGGGTTGGGATTTATGGATGGATGGTTGAGTCAAGAGGGAGGCATGGACATCCACTCTGGCCCCAGAGGCCGTGGGTAGCTGGGAGGCACTCAAGTGCCCACCCTGGCAAGAGCCACTGTGATGGAGAGATGCGAAAGACGGAGTACGTGGTGGAGAGATGGGAGAGGGACAGAAGCAGAGTAGTTCACGTGCTGTGAAGAGAAGTGAAGCTGGAGACACAGTGAGGAACCGGCTGATATATGAGGAGCCTGTGCAGCCACCTGAGTCCATGGTGATGTCCAGTCCTGGGCTGTGGCCAAGGGCCGTGTCTGGGTCTGTGGTCCTGAGGAGCCAGGGTCTGTATTGATGTCTGTGGCCCGCATTACCATCAAAGGCCATGCTGATGTCTGTGGTCTGGGCTACCATCTGAGGCTATGTTGATGGCCTATCTCCATGCGGATCTGGTCCTGCCCCTCACTGGCTGCTGGAGA